CTTAGTATCCTGGATACTGGAATCTGAAATGACTTCACAACAATTAGTAATGTTGGTTTTATCTATTAAATCAAGACTTTAAGCCAGAGGGCAGGGACAATATCTCTTTGTTCTTCCAGTAGCTCGAAACGTGAGGTAGATAGTTCAGTTATTTAATGAATGAGTGAAGAAAATGTATCAACATCACCAAATTCTACGGATTCTATATTATCATCACTCTCTATATGTTTTCTTATATCCAAACATTCTATCTATATCTAGACTTTCATGTAACATCTACAAAAACAAAAAGTAGAATCTTAGAAAGAGGAGGGCAAACAATTTTTGTCAAACCCTAGACACCTAGAATAGTATTTAGTTTGTCAATTGAAGTGCTTCTCATAAGCAGTATTATAAAAATCTCTTATTTCCAAGATCTTTTTTTTTATTATTTTTATTTTTTTAATTATTTCCAAGATCTTAAAAATGACGCAGTATATCACAATCCTGGTTTTTAAAAAGGTGAACCAAACAATACCAATTTATATTTACATTAAAAAACACAATTTGTTATTTAAATAACTGCCTCCATGACATATGTTATCTGACAATGGTGTTCTACAAACAAGAGATAGTTTTGTGAAGAGTAAGTATGTGCATTTTTGTGTTATTTGATTTTCTACATATTTTGAAAAAAAGAAAGGTAACAATAGGCAACAGTTTCTTGATTCTCTAAAACACTGCTCAGCTATTCTTTGGCAAGTCTACACTCATGTTAGAATTTTTGAAATTGTTCTTAGGTTGAGAAGCTATGACATTTCTTTCTTCTGAGATTAACAGTGATAGGAGTCAGGAGATTAAATTTACTATTAAATTCTGCCAAGGTCCTCTACTTTTCACTAGTACTTATCATATTAATTAAACATTATGCCCCATGCCCCTGATCTCTGGTACCCTTTGTACACCACAATCTACAATCCCACAATGCTTTAAAAACACATCTGAGGAGCTTATTTCTTTGCCTCTGGAGCACCTCATAACTTAATTCTAATGAGCAGAACAAAGCAGAAGTGAAGGTATGTGATTTTGAGAGACTAGGTCCTATAAAGCACTGTGGCTTCCTTCACTCTCTCTCTTGAATCTCTTACTTTTTACTTTGAGGAAGTTACTGGCCAGGTTGTGAGGTAAGGTCCACATGGAGAAGTCTTCTACCAACAGTCATGTGAGTGAGCCATCCTGGGCGTGGATCCTCCAACCACACAAACCCTTTAGATGACTGAAGCCTTTGCCCACGTCCTGACTAATCACAAGAGATCCTGAACCAGAACCACCTAGCTAAGTGACTCCTAAATTTCTGACCCACGGACACTGAGATAATAAATATTTGTTGTTTTAAGCAGTTAAGTTTGGGAGTAAGATTTGGGGTACTTTATTGTATGATGGATAATGGAATAACCCCTTTGCCAAAAATATCTCATCAAGAAAGACTGCAAACTTGGTGTACAAGAACTGAAACTCAGGGGCACCTGGTGGCTCAGCTGGTTAAGAGTTCAACTCTTGATTTTGGCTCAGGCTGTGATCTCAAGTTTATGAGACTGAGCCCTATGTCAGGCTCCCCACTGCTTGGGATTCTCTCTCTCTCCCCCTCTGCTCCTTTGCTTCCCTCTAATAATAATAAAAAAATAAGTGAAATTCAGGTTTCCCATTAAACTAAGTACTTTCTCCCTAATGCCTCTAAACTATATGCAGAATACTAAGGGTCATCCATTTATACAAGCTCTGCTGTCTTGACTTTAAGATTTATTTTAAGAGAGAGCGAGCATGCACGCACATGTATAGTGGGGGGATGGCGAGGGGCAGAGGGGAAGGGAGAGAGAATCTCAAGCAGACTCCCCGCTGAGCATAGAGACCCATACAGGGTTTGATCTCAAGACCTTGGGATCATGACCTGAGCCGAAATCAAGAGCCCGATGCTTAGCCAACTGAGCCACCTAGGTGCTCCTTGACTTTGTTATGCCCTTTTAGAAATCAAAGGACTCTGGCATGCTCTATGTAGGAATACCATGAACACAGAATGAACTACAAATTCATGTTTCTCAAATTTTCTAAAAGAGCTTCTTTCTCAACATACCCTTTTCCTCCACTGTTTGTCTCATTCATCAAGACACTCAAAGTTGTCATTTGCCATAATGTCAATGGGTCTTTCCCCTGTCATATATTCTAAACAAATCCTAAACAAAATAAATAGTCTAAAGAAAACAAATTCTCAAACCATTCACCAAACAGAAGGAAAGGACTGTGGGTGGTTAGTAGCTTCCTTGTGTTATTGGTTCAAAGCATCTATTAACTTAGTTATTCATTACAGAGGCTAGGGCAACTGATTATGAATGTGGGAATGTGATTTCTAGAAATTATTTAGTGTTTAAGAGGACTAATAAAAGTATATTGAAAATGGAAAAAAAAAACCTGTAGCCTTAGCCATTTCTGCATACTGCCTTGTAGTTTTTATGTGTAGGTGCATACTTTTAGAAAATTGCAACTAATAACCAATATATTTTTTCATTTTGGAAAAATCCTGATATACCCAAAATCAAAATTCTTTAGGAAAAGATTTTCCTTGTATTAACTAAAATTGAATATAATTATAACTCAAACTCAACAGGTATAGAATAAAATATATGCCAATTGAAAAGATTTTAATTTCAATTACTTAATTGGCCAACACTTTTCTAAATGTGGCCTAACTTTTTACAATATATAGCCAGCTCTCAAATATTCAATATTTTTTTCCCTCTATTGTCTGCCTACAAATAAAGTTATAATGGATGCAGCATTACTAATTCTTTGGAAATAAGCCATCTCTAACATAATTTCTGTTACTTATATTTATGTTAGCCCAGGTATCCAGACATATATTTTACAAAGACATCTTATAAAAACAAAACAAATGGAATTTAAAAAAGAAGTCTGTTGAAGGTTCCTGTTGAGCACTTACTGACTGAAAAATAAACTCTAAAATGTTCATAAACAATGACAAATTCCCAAATATAAGATAAAATATTAACATATCTAAGAGCCTTTTACACCATCCCATTTCTTCTAACCAAGACTAATCTCTGCATTTTGAACTAGAGATAGTACCTTCAAAGAAATATTATAATAACTGGAATATAGGAATTTTGAATAAAAATTAATGGTAAATGGTAAATAATATTTAGAAGTCTCTGAAACAGTAAAGTGAAATGTAAATATTGTTTACTTAGGCACTAAATTTATAAGTCACCATTTACAGCAATTCAAATATTTTATACTATAATAGACCCAATCATAAAATCGTATTTCAGAAGTCAGAATCACTGTTTCTGAATCCTGTCTTTTGCAAAATAAATCTAAACATATTCCAGTGCAAGGGTTTCTTGTGTTTATCAGCATTTTTAGATAAATGGAAATTGTAGTGGGGGTGAAGAGAGCTGAATGATCCAAATAAAAAGACAAAAATGATTTTTAAAAAATGAAATCGGAGATACTTTAAAGAACTTCCCATTCTAAAATTTTTATATGATATTAAAAAAAAACAAGATAGTCTTAATTATGAGGCTTATTGGTAACTGAATAACCTTGGCTCACAAAGCTTAAATCTCCTACGTTGTCTAGAAGGAAAGAAATAAAGATAGCATTCTTGATTTAATGCTATCTTGTGGATGTTAAGAGTCCTCATTTATTGGGAGATCTTATATTTTTCAAAACTGTGTCATCCTCCTAAAACCTAAGTCATTAAAAAAAATTCCTTTCTAAGCATAACATTTCAATGATTCATAAAAACATGGAGAATTATATGCACCTATATATACACTACCTTGATTTAACAAGTGTTAACATTTTGCTTCAGCTCTTTTCTTTTTCTTTTTTTTTTTAAGATTTTATTTATTTATTCATGATAGACATAGAGAGAGAGAGGCAGAGACACAGGCAGAGGGAGCTCCATGGAGGGAGCCCGATGCAGGATTCGATCCCAGGACTCCAGGATCGTGCCCTGGGCTGGCGCCAAACCGCTGAGCCACCCAGGGATTCCCCCAGCATCTTTTCTTTAAAAAAAAAAAAAAAAAAAAAAAAAAGCTATAGCTACAACTGAAGCCCTCTTTACTACCTTCCCAGAGTCAGACTCTTTTTTTCCCCAACTGTAGAAGTGATCATTTTTCTAAAGTTGTTAACATTCCTGTTTTTATACTTTTACTATATACTTGTGTTTTTATAAACGTCATAATATTTTATATTTTTAAAAATTTAAATAAATCATTCCCATTTTATCATTTTGTAATTTCTACTTTTTATTCAACATTGTTTCTGAAATCTAGACATACTAATATATAAATATTTAGTTAATTTTAATTTTTCTAAAGTGTCTCACCGTAAAGGTGTGCCATTCTGCTACTGATGGATGTTTAAGTTGTTAAACAATGTAGCTTGAACATCCTCATACACATCTTGCAAATACAGAATGTTCCTTTTTATATTGTTTCAATGAAGACTTTCGAGTAAGCTGGTTAGGTGGATTTTTTAAAAAATTAAGCTCTGGCAATTGAAGAAAAAACTAGAGTGTCATTTTCTAATCCAGAATCATCTGTGCCTTACTATCTACTAGTTAAATGTTTTATTTGTTTGTTAAATCCCTGTGATATAGAAAAGAGAGTATCAGGAAACATGAAACAAATCTAAGCATTTATTTTACTTAGAAATAATGCTTCTATTTAGAAAAATCTAAGTCATTTGTGTATAAATACAATTTGTTTAAATTCTAAAGGTGGATCTACCTCAGGAAAATAAAACAAGGAAGATGTGTTAAATGTCAGCATTTGAATGTTGCTTTTTGCAGAAGCATTGGTAGGACTGAAAACAATCTTCACCCCTGTTCCTGCCCACCCAAATTTGATAAAATACTGACTGAATAATTCAGGAAGTCTGTGGAACCTGATTTCTCATTTCTTATTTCCTTTATGGAATAAACCAGCAGGGCAGTCTACCTTTAATTCCTTTTCTCTTGGTATTCCTGATTTTACTTTATCATGTGGCTGATCAAGAATCAAATTATTCTTCCTTGCTTCACTGTCTTCAAGCAGGGGAACATAGCCAAAACTGTTATCTGCAAGACAAAAACCTCTTGGATATAAGTAGAGAACCCGTTTTTAGGACCACCTGGTAAAATAAAAATAAACCAGAAACCCCAATTATAAAGATATTTTAAATTGCGAGCTTCGAAAATTCTTTAATTACTTTGACAATTTAAATTTGCCTTTTTAGATTTTTTTCATTCCCACTAAATACACAAAACCCCCACTCCCCAAATCAGTGATGTAAAAAATATATAGAACTTAGAAAACTAGAAGTTCTTTATAACTTAACAATAGCAATTAAACTTTTAATAAGCCATATTTCCAGGTATGTATTTCTTGTTTAAGATAATTATTTGCATAATTACTCCATACGTATTCTAGGAAAATTAGAAAATGCAGACATGCCAAAAATAAATAAATAAATAAAAACTGCCACAACTTTTATGACCTGTGAATTATTCCGGTTAACATTTTGGTTTATATTTTTATCACAGTTTTTCTTTTCCTATACTTACAGATTCAAACAAAAATCTTTTTTTTTACACATAAAATTATATACATTTTTTATCCTGCTTTGTTCATTTTTCTATGTATTATATGTCTCAAGATAGTAAGTTAACATCTATAATCATCATTTTTCTTTGGCTACATAGCCGTTTGTTATATGAATGACTAATTTAACTCTGAACATTTATTTCTAACTTTTCATCATTACAACATTCATTGTGGGGGCAGCCCTGGTGGCTCAGTGGTTTAGTGCCGCCTTGGGCCCAGGGCGTGATCCTGGAGACCCAGAATGGAGTCCCGTGTCGGGCTTCCTGCGTGGAGCCTGCTTCTCCCTCTGCCTGTGTCTCTGCCTCTCTCTGTGTCTCTCATGAATAAATAAAATCTTAAAAAAAAAAAAGAACTTTTACTGTGATAAGCTTCCTTGCATATATAACTTTGAGTTCTATAACAAATATTTTCTTATGACATATTTTTAGGGCTTGAATTTTTCATTTAAAAGGTACAGACATTTAAGAAAGCTTTTGCTATTTACTGGTAAATTGTCTTCTAGGAAGTTTCATCAACTTAGAATTCTACAATATAGTATATGTGCATGTTCATTTCCCCATAACTGTGCAAGTATTCATTTCTTAAATAAAAATAAGTAACTGCACTACAGTTATTTAAAAATCAGAACTATTGAGAAATGATGGAGAAATAAAAAAGAAAAACTTAACTTCTACCTTTTTCTCTCCAAGAGGTTCAAGTAATACATAAAAAATATGAACATACCTTGACTGGAATTCACAAGAAGCAACTGTGATTTTAGCTTGTCAATAGTAGTTTGTTGAAGTGACAGCTGTTCCTGTTGCTCACGTATTCTCTGCTCATAGTTTTCAGTCTGCTGACATAAAAACCAGTTAGCCTGGTATTTACTAGCAGACGTGCATATACATTTACTGTCCATTAATTAATTATATATAGAGGTGAGTTGCTCTATTGCCATTTCTCAGGTATTGAGCACGCTGTTTGTGAACTAAAAACTGGCTTCAACAGTATATTAATAGTCATTATAAACATCACTGATTTAAAACACTTAAAACACTGCAAAATTTAAAAAATCATCTTAATTAGTGAAATTTCAGTTCATAGTTCTTGGTCCTTCAAGCTAGTATAAAAATTGTAATTTAGAATTCAGTCCCTAATGAAAACAACAAAAAAGCATCAATGACAAAATGCATGTTATATTGTTCTATAAAAGTATATACTAACTTATTTTTTTAAATACCTACTAACTTATAAAATGTTAAGATTTCATATCTTTTAAATAAACAGTTTTGAATTGGTATTTAGCATATAAAACCACAAAGGAAGTAGCATAACCTAAGTAGCATTTTCCCTATGAGAAAATCAAATGAGCAAGTACAAATTATAAAATTATATTTATCAGAAACTTCCTTTTTCAGATTAAGTATTAAGAAGTCAGAAGAATATGTGGTTTATCCTTACTGGATATCTTTAATATCATAATTTCCCTTATATTTTTAATCCATTCATCTTGCTATTTTATTGCAATGGCTGTGAGAATTAAGCAATGAAAGAAGATAGCAGTTTGCATTAGAAAATAACAGATGCTAACAAACCTTCAAGCAAATTTGAAAATGTTGCATTACAATTACCAAAGTTTAAATATATATTACCAATAATAGAGAATTCTTTATCAATTTTTATCACTGGTGCAACAATAAATGACTAAACTCTCTGAATGTAAAATAACATCCTAATAATCTTGAAATGTCTTCAGTAGATACTAAAGAATTTGATTTTGAGGGGTGCCTGCATGGCTCAGTCAGTTAAGCGTCTGCCTTCAGCTCAGGTCATGATCCCAGGGCCAGAATGGAGCCCCACATCAAGCTCCCTGCTTAGCAGAGAGCCTGCTTTTCCCTCTCTCTCTGCCATTCCCCCTGCTTGTACTCTCTTTAATAAATAAATAACATCTTTAAAAATTTTTGATTTTGTTGTATTTTTTTATTTTGTTATATTTTTATCAATGTTCAAAATTAGTGAAATTATTATTTTCAGAGACCAATAAGCTTAAAGTACTTTATAAGTTACACAGCTCTTCCTAGATTCCCAAAATATATTAGCTTAGGAAATTAAAAAGTATATATTTATTTGAGAAAGAGAGAGAGAGAGAGAGAATGAACATAATGGAGGGGTGGGGGGAGGAGCAGAGGGAGAGGGAGAAGCAGACTCCCTGTGAGTAGAGAGCCCAACACGGGGCTTGATCCTGGGACTACAGGATCATGATCTGAGCTGAAGGCAGATGCTTAACTGACTGAGCCACCAGGTGCCCCTAGTTTAGGACATTAAAGCAAAACACAACATTTTCCCAAATAAAGGGTGAAATTTTATACGTAATACACTTCAAACAATAATTAACAGAGCTGATAAGTAATTCAAGTGTTTTGTTATCTTTGCATTATTGTCTGAGAATAGTGTTATATAACCTGATAATCCCATAGAACTCTGTGAAGTAATTTAGACATAGGAGATATTTAGTACATGCTTGTTAGGGAAAAAAAAAAAAGGGAAATAAAGAATCCAGGTTAAAAAAAAAAAGGAATCTAAATTCTATTAATACAAATAGAAGAATGTATGTTGTGAATCTATCTGGACCATATGATCTATAATTATGAGTCTCCAAACTAAATCTTAAATAACAGGGCCATGCCTTTCAGGACAAGACATTTTATTCTCACAAAAATCTCTATCTGAACCCCTAGAGTGAGTAGGATTTAAACATCTACAGCAAATTCTGTAGCATCTTAAATTTCCTTGAGCTACACAGAGCTACCAGGCTGAGGAATCAGCAAACTTGCTGATGTTACTTCTTTTTGCTATCTACTTCTGTTTATTTAAACTTTCTCCAAAGAATTCAAAGCTCTTCATGAACACTAACCAGTAAATGCTTATTCTTTTACTATATTTTGATAGGTAAAAATATTCTACTATCCAGACATTAAGTAACCAGGACAAAAAACCTAGCAAATTAGAGACAGGCCCAGAATAAGTGTGCAAGCTATTCAAACCTTAGCCCACTGTCTATTATATTTATATATATATTATATAATATATATTAATGTATATTATATATTTTTCCTGCCTTCATGGAAAAAAAAAGGACTTGTATTTTCTTTTGGAACCAACTCAGATGTCTTTGCCAGGTAATATTCACCTTTTAGTCTCTGGCTTAAAAACGAATAAGGCTGAAAATGTTATTTATTGGGTGGGAAAGTTTCAAGTTGAAGTTTTGAACTATTAAACTACTTAATAAAGTACTCAGTAAACTCCAGTAAACTCTATAATAACTTAAAAACTGATATTCTGAAAGTATAGCAGGGGAAAAAGAACAGTAATAGTCCTTGTTCTCTTACTGCTTTTTCCACATACTTACATTATAGCAATTATAATATTTTAGTCTAATTACCCATTATAGCGATTATATTTTAGTCTAATTACCTATATTTCTGATTTTGCTTTAGACTATGACCTCTTCTAGGGCAGAGGCTATTTTCTTCTGACATCTCTAAAGTATAGAGTGGCTGGTACATTTTGAGATGCTCACTATATTAGCTGAATAAAAAGACTAAGTTGTTAAGTATCACAGAAACAGGCATGACTTCAGAAGTTACCTGAAAGAATGGAAAAAAGACTGCTTTTTTAAAAAATTTTTATTCATTTATGATAGTCTGAGAGAGAGAGAGAGAGAGAGAGAGAGAGAGAGAGAGAGGCAGAGACACAGGCAGAGGGAGAAGCAGGCTCCATGCACCGGGAGCCTAATGTGGGATTCGATCCAGGGTCTCCAGGATTGTGCCCTGGGCCAAAGGCAGGCGCCAAACCGCTGCGCCACCCAGGGATCCCACTTTGCTTTTATTTTAAAAGGGAAACAGGAAAAAGGGAGAGAGTTCAACAGGTGAACAGATAAAAGGCAATTAAGTTTGAGAAAATGGGTGCAAAAGATAGGCAATAACTGAATTTTTTTTCTTGTCTTTTTTTTTTTAAAGAGAAGCTTATACCATCAGAAAAAAGGTACTAATTCAAGAAAAGAAAATACATAATCAGAAAACAGTATAAAGATTTTGACCACAAGGCTATGAGAGGGCAAGTCCAGAAGAAGATACCGCATCCAAGTGGGAAATAGCCAGTAGATTTCAATTTATTTGCTGTATTTGGAAACTGAAACAAGTTTTTTTCTTTTTATTAAATGCTTTTGTTCACTGAACAGATATGAATAAACTTATAATCTGAAAAATCCTTTTAAAAGGTCAGATAATTGTTGTACTGTCACAGCATTTTTTAAAAAAAACAATGCAATTACAAACCAAGTGCATTCCAGCCCTATCAAAGACCCCACAAAACAGAAAAATCACTAACAACCACATTGAAAATGTACAACAGCAATGTCTTGTCAACACTTCTGTACAGAGCACAGACATGACAGCTAAAACAGACAGAAGAGAAGATGCTTTTGACAGCCAGTGTGTGTGAATGATTCTTTGAGTCAGATGGCAGCAACAAGTTACCAACTAGGAGATCTGCATGACAACTAACCATCCATCTGTATCAAACACCATCTGGCCAAGATGACTCTGGCTTCTGTGTATTTGACACTCCTTCCAATTCCAAAGACTAGCAAAACAAGTGGTCTACCAGCATCTAAAGAGGTAAGCAGGTACTTAGGTACATGTGCCCATGTGCCATAATATACTCTGTACTCTTTCTTAGCGTTCAAAAGCAAAACTTAAAACAATGCTGATCAATATAGTACACATTTTAAATTTATTGAAAATGGTTGTCCATACATGCCCTTCTCTGATCATAAACAAAGCAGAAAGCTTATCTTTAGAACTGTCCCTTTACCCAGGGAAAATTTCAATTCATCTTCAAAACTAAGGCAGCATATTCTCTATAATTTTGGATATACAGCTGCTCAAGTTTTCATGGGTTTCATAAATATTAAAAGAGTTCTATAAATTGAATTTTTTTCCTACTGCTGACACTGAAAACTGTCATTTTTCATATTTTCCAAAGTACTTATTTCCTAGATGGGTGAACAAAAGTTCAAGTGCCCTTTGTCATGGATGGTACTTGGAAAAGGTTCAAACATTATCCCTTTTCATCCTCAAGAACTAATCCAATATTCTGAAAGATACCATTTTTTCCCTCCAGGTATAAAGACAATAGCAATTTAATAAATTGAATGGGTTAAAAAAAGAATCTCAATTTAAAAACCTTTCAGACTGTTCTAACATTAACAAAGAGAACAAAAGCTTTATAGAAGGCTACTACAAATGCTCTCAATAAGGAAGCTCCACAATTCATGAAGTAAGACAATTAAATAACTGTTCCAATACACAACACTTTGATCACAAACTATCTTATTTTGAAACTCTGGGTAAACTAAATATCAACTTCAATTTTAAGTTAAAAAAAGAGATTGTATAGGATTAGCAACTCAGAGAGCCTGGTTTATACAGCTTATTCTTCAACAATTCTCTGCTATGTTTTCTTGTAACTAGGTTACAAACCCTGCCCTCCTCTTGTCCTGGCCCTATCAAGATTTACCTAGACCTGCAATGTGACAGATCAGATTATCAATTTAATTATCTACTATTTAGTTACAGTGCTACCACCAATTTGTCAGCATGCCAAATGGTACCAATTTCTCAGCATGCTAAATGGTAAGGGATGACATTTTTATTTTATGATCTTGTGTTTTTGTTCTGATTAACTTACTTAGCCTCTGAGCTTTGTTTTTTTTTTCTTTCTGAAATGAAAATGATATTTGCCTGAAGGGCTGAAGGAAATGGCATGTATAAATTATCTAGTACATAATAA